CTGTTTCATTGATCGTAGATCATTTTTCAAATTTTATTTCGCCTACGGTCTATGACAAATAACTTACAAAATTTTACCCTCATACATTTTCATAGGAGAGTCCCCACCGATATAATTAATTTCTACTAACCTGAAATGGATGTCAAATCTCAACACACGTTAATATAATACATTTGCATATGTATGTATGTGTAGATATATAAGTATATATCTATACATTTAAAGAGAAATTGTTGTGATCGTTGTCAGAGATAACTCGTCATCGTTATTAGGCAAAATTAGGCACGAGCTCGAAGACGGCTTCCGAATTCTGATTATTACATTGTATAAGAAGTATTAATATTGTAATGTATGTAAATGATAGAAGCGGATGATGATATTCATTTGAGATATCGAATGAGAAGCCGTTTGATGGCTCGCTAAACGACAAACTTAAACTTATCTTTTCTCTCTCTCTTTTTCTCTCTTTTTTGTACCAGGTAGTTTAAGTAACGGCCTGATACAAAAGCCAAGAAGCTATTTGAGACAGCTTGCGACTCTCATTCACCATAAATAACTATGTAACTCGGGCGAGACGCCAGTTTTTCGATTTATTCTTATTTTCGTGGCAATATCTTGAACGCACCTTCTTCTTTTTCTTCTTCTTTGCTACGTGTATCTATCTACCAACGAACGAACCAACCAACCAACCAACCAACCATCTTACCTACCTACCTACCTACCTACCTACAGTCCACAACTATACTCTATAATTAAATCTAAAAGTGATCTCACGGCGTGAAGTGCATCTTTATGACGATCTACTGAGGGAGAGAAAGAAAGGGATGGGATAAAGAAAAAAGAAAGAAGAAAGAAGAAGAAAAAATAAAGAGAGAGAGAGAGAGAGAGAAAGAGAAAGGGTCGTATTCACGATCAAAAAATAATGAGACAGAAAAGGATGAAAAGAAATGATCATCTTCAAGACGACATCCCTAGTACCGGAATAATTATTGTTTGTTGAGACTCGACATCCACTTGCCGTTAAATCGAACGTGAATTACTACCGGTTTGTATAAGCGGCGCTGGCTGTTTAACGGGCCGAGAATAACAGAGAAAATCAATCGTGAAATCGATCGGTTTCTTTGCGATTTATTGTTAGATCGGGAATTCGAAATTTTTATGCTTTCGAAATAACAAACATCATTTTTATACAATTTCGTTTAAGTTATGATTTGTAATTAAGTTTTTGTACTTCAAATTTGCGAAGAATAAAAAAGAAAAGAACAAAAAAAGAAGAAAAAAGAAAAACACAAAAATTGTTGCTAACTATCTCGTAACGTTCTCGTATTCGAGTGAACGTGTTCTCGTGTCTTTATTAACCTGCAAAGTTCACGAGAAGGGATTAGGGTAAGAAAAATGTTTAGATCGTAAATCGTTAAAGCCTTCCGATAATGGCCGTTTCTATCCTTCGTCTAGGCAGGCTCACGTACTTACGTAAGCGATCTTCCCTTCGACCCCTTTAGCCTCCAATCCCTTTTCCATTGCATGGATTGGATCGTCTGTACCGGCAAATAGCCCGACAAACTATTATTTTATAATCTGCACTCTGGCTCTCTATATCGGTGGATACGAGGCAAATTGGTCGTTAATGTCGATGAAACTGCGAGCGGTTCTGCCGTAATTAGAAGCGAGTTAGCGATCGTTCTGCGATATCTATACGGTATTACCTTTCGTATTATCTATTAAGGGCAGAAAGTTAGATACTACCGATTAACGACTGATCGTCTGTACTCTTTGACGACTATTATTTCTTTTAAATCTTTTAATATATAAGACTCTTCAAACTTACGTTAAGATTATTACAATAAATATATGCATATTGAAAATATTCATGCATTACGTAATGTCTATAGAAACTCCTGACATAAATTGAAAGCTAGAAACATTGGATTATGATTTATTAAAATACTATAGCGGTACCTTAAATGTATATTTTTAAAATAACATTTCAAATACATAAATATATAGCATAAATATATAGTACATGCTTATATATTTCTACGTAAAAGCTCATAGTAAAAAAAAAAAAAAAGAAAAATAACCAATAAAATTTTTGATTCTCTTGAAAAATATTTCAATGGCTCTAGCAAGAGGACGACCATATAGAAGGTATAATTAAACGATTACGATGTCGGATTTATTGCGACTTGCGGTGACTTTATATGCATATACATATACATATGCATATAAATATGCATGTATATTGTAGGTAGATGATTCCAAAGTTTGCAAGTTATATGCATGTGTGTATGAGATAAACCTATTGGCAATTAGTTAAAAGATGGAAGGTTCTAGGATCAATTAACTGTGTGTATGCCTATATGAAGTAAATAAATCTATCGACAATCAGTCAAAGCGCGGTCCGTTCTTTATAAGACACGTTGTTTATGAAAATATAGAGAAGGAATTGAGATTGGAAGAGAGAAAGTGAGATGAAAATGCAGCATGAGTAAAATAAATAACGAAACAAGAAATAGAACAGAGTGATAAGGATTGTGGAATGCATATATACGAATGTGAGTGGATGGAATGAGAAAGGCTACGGGACGTACGTGAGAAAAGAACAACGAAGGGATAGTCTACAGGAAAACAACAAGTGAGTAGTAGTTTCTAGCCAAAGAAAAGTAGTATTTTCGCGTTCGAAGAGACCAACATTCTATATATTATATTATTTTTTTTGTTATTGTTTCATAGTAAATATCCTGTTGTTTTATTTCTTTATTAATCTCGGCTATCTCTGAATATATAAAAACGCCTATAGATTTTCAGAAAGGATTATAGGAATTCTCATACTGTATATATATACATATATATATATATATATATATATATATATATAGAGAGAGAGAGAGAGAGAGAGAGAGAGAGAGAGAGAAAGAGAGAGAGATAGAGATAGAGAGAAAGAGAAAGAGAGAGAGAGAGAAAGAGAGAGATAGAGAGAAAGAGAGAGAGAGAGAGAGAGAGAGAGAGAGAGAAGAGAAGTTCGTAGTTCGATAGCTTTCTCGCCTGATGGAATTATATGATAATTTAATCCTTCTCCATGACTTTATCCGTTGTTGTCGGCCATTGTATAAATAACATTTCATAAATAACATTTTTAAAAGAGTTCCTTCATCTTCCTGGCGAGGTTAAGAACAAAACGCGCTATTAAAACCCACGTTGTGGTTAAGCTAAAAACAATCGTTGGATTCTTACGAGTAAATACTTACATTGGTGCCAGTACTATGAGCCGATAATATTTTTCATCGAAAGAAGTTATGAGGTTTTACGCGAATGCGAAAATCACGTTTGCTAGGAACTCGCTCGATCGTAAATCTCTCTCGAGATTGTCCGTTAAAAAAAAAAAAAGAAAAATAAATAAATATAGAAAAAATAAATTAAACAACGATAAAAAAAAGAAAAAAAATAGAAGAAAAAAGAGATACGAAAAATAATAAATGATAAAAGTTCTAGGTCTTTCGTTCTCAGAAAGCGGTGCGTTTCGCGGGAAAGAGAAGGCGGAATATAATCGTAGGAACGTCCGATTAGACGTGTCGTTGTAAATCAATTCGAATAAAAGAGGGAGGGAGAGAGAGAGAGAGAGAGAGAGAGAGAGAGAGAGAGAAAGAGAGGAAATACGATGTAAGGACGCTCGCAAATCGATCTTTGCAATTTATACGTCCCCATTGTACAAATACTCGTGAAAAAGAAAGAGAAAGAGAGTAAGAGAGAGAGAGAGAGAGAGAGAGAAAGAGAGAGAAAAGTGAAGGATAACGTGAGCTGGATGTTTACATTCGACCGTAAATTATCATGCGAGTAGCGCGTCCACGCGCAGGGATATCGACGATAAATTATTAATTTAACATCCTTAACGTAGAGAGAAGTTTGAAAGAAAAAAGAGAAAAGTAGAGAAGTCAGGTATATATATACATACATACATATATGTATATATATATATATATATATATATATATATATATATGAAAAAAAAGGACGAAAGAATGAAAGAAAGTAACGATACGTCCGTTGAAAATGAGTCCTTTCTTCTGCAATTTGCAATAATTAACATGATAGTTGACGATTTCTACGAGAATGAAGACATATGATAAATTCACAAGCTTAATATTCATGAAATTAGTTATGAAAATGGAGTTGTTACTCGTTTAAGTTCGTCCACTCTTAAAAACGTTTCCGACTCTCTTGGCAAACGAAACGAACTAAGTACGCGAAGTGCTGTGTATTACCACGTAAAGTGGGTCAAATTGACATTGTGATTTCGCAAAGGATTATTAGTCGCCGTGCGCTGTCACAGTTGCGCGTATTTAATGGTCTCCATCACGAATCACGTTGATTTTATGAGACCAGTAATCGTTTCTTTTCGTTTTTTCTTCGTTCTTTGTCGTGAAAAGTACAGAATTTAAAACCGAAACGTGTTCTCACATTTAGAACCTCGTTGAGATAGATACACGTAATGCGTACATGTGTATACTTAGTAACGTTAAATACATATGTACATATATATATATGTATATATGTATATATATTTCTCGACTTCCTTCGAGAATCAAACGTGATTCAATCTGTTTCTTGATTATATGCTTAGATCCAGTATCTAAATAATATCGTATCTTTTCTATATTATATAAATTATCCCCTCTATGACAAGATGTCTCCAATCTTGTTTTATATAAATAACTTATTTACTTACTACACGTTTATGTTGTACAAGTTTTAAGATTAAGAAAAAAAAAAAAAAAAAAAAAAAAGAAAAATATATATATACTTCACGCGTAATTCATAGAAATTTGTTAAAAGTACTCTAATCGTGTATATTCTTTATCTGTTTTATTTATCGTTATATTCATCTTGGCGATCGAAATAGATTTCAACGATGGATATCGAATGAATGAACGAACGAACGTTCGGATCATCTATTATTAATTAATATTCGTAGGAATGACGATTCGACGTGTCTGTTGCAGGCTGGTTTTCGGTCGTGTCAAACAGCAGCGGTACTGGAAACGCGCGTGTCTACAGAAGAGTCGGCGCTTTGGTCCGAGCCGGTGTGCCGGCTTTTCTACTCGCAAAGCCGCTCAGAGCTTACACGCTCACGCACTCGAAGATGGGTAAGTCAGCGTGATTTAACAGGCGACACTCGCAAATTAATCCTCCTACGGATAGAGCGATTACGCTGTAGGTACTTACTCTCTCGGCGCTTACCAATGCCAGAGGAAAAGAGAAATATCATTTTCTCTCTCTCTCTCTCTCTCTCTCTCTCTCTCTTTTTCTTTCTTTTTCTATCTATCAAAGAATAAAATTCGCTTACCGATAATACTCTCATCTATTATATAGTTACTGATAGAACTATTACATTGAACTATCGAAACGTTGAAAGTACATTTAAACATGCCAGTTATACAGGATGACTCGTGTGTAATATGATTATTTGAAAAGAGTCTTTTATTTTAATTTATCAACCAACCAAGTCCATATTAATAATTTATTAAATGAAAAAAAAAAAAATAAAAAAAAAGAAACTTTATCTCTTCGATTGCCTATATAAATTTTTAAAATATATCTCGTCGTTTATTATATTGAACAATTAATTAAACGAAGAACTCGCTAGTAAAGTTAATTTGAATATCAAATTATGTGAGACCATATTGAACTTGTTAAACCTGACAACGAAGAACGTAATCGAGAAAAGGGGAAGTTCTATCTGTTAGATTTAAATGTCGATTTCGTAGACAGCTCGCGTAAAAGGTGTGTCAATGTGTTCGAGGAAAGTAGAAAGATCTAAAAGAGGTAAAAAGAAAGAGAAAAAGAAACAGAGAGAGAGAGAGAGAGAGAGGCACGCGTCTGGATCAGAGACGTACGTCGTAAGCATGTCGTCGTCGATAGGATAAGACAGGACAGGACTTGGGATAGAACAAGACAGGACAGTCAAGGTGTACTCACTTTCTCGTCTACGCGTCCGCGTAGACGCGACAATGCGGCTAGCTGCACGCACGTCGTCCCAAAGGAGCCTATTATTTTCTTGGGTGCAGCGACTGGCCGTGACATGAATGTCAATGTGTCTGTAATGCGACTTACCTCGTTCATTCCCTTCTATTCTCTTCCCTTCCTAGCCCTTCTTCTTTTTCTTCTTCCTTTTCTTCCTCTTCCTCCTCCTCCTCCTCCTCCTCCTCCTCTTCTTCTTCTTTTTCTATCTTACCTTTCCATATAGTCAGTTTGCTTTTAAATGTAGGCGAGCCGGCACCATCAGCATGTACCTCTATTACGTTACGCCGGTGTGTTGTGTTGGCGGCGAGTACGGTGAAAGCCGTTCTTTCTCAGTCCTTATTTCTTACGATACGCACGACTCGTGTTACATGCCATTAACTATTAGAACATTTTATGGATTATTGGAAAATCCAAGGGTTTCGTGCCTCTTCTCTGTGGTTAAAGATTTTCTAAGTGTATGCGATACTCTTCTTTTACAGTCAGTTTTCCTTGGTACGTAATGTTGTAACATTTTTTTTTTATTGATAAAATTATTAATGTATAATTAATTTCATCGTTTATAGAAATATTTTATAAAGTAAATTATTATACGTTTTACGGCATATATGGATTTACGTATATACATGTACGTAATATAATTTTAATTATTTTCATAAAATGTTAAAAGGTGGATAAAAGAGTAAAAAAAAAAAAAAAGAAAAAAGAGAAACCAAGAGAATATTCTAATATTTATAATTAATTTTAGCTAGAATATATGTATATGTAATTCACGTCGCGTGCGCCTTAAGTTATTTTCTTGGATGTTGCGTAGTTGGGCGTGGAGCATATTCTTGTGGCTGCTGTTCATGTACATACTATAGTTCAGCGACTCTCCCTCGGTGTCGTCTCGATGTCCGTTATCACGTCGCTTACGTGCGCGTTTATTGCCGTTAATTGCTCTCTGTTCTTCTTCCGTCTCTTTACTTTTCTCTTTCTCTCTCTCTCTTTCTTGCACACTCACGAGTAAAATAGTATGTACAAGCAAAAATTAGGAACGGTCGATCTATTCCAAGCGTCCTTAATTATCAAAGAACTTCGTTGTACTAATCTCAGACTTATTTATTGTCTCTAGTTTTACGTTTTGTTTATGTTTTCTTTACGTATATCGAGGAATTTAAAGTTTCTTGTTCGATGATATCATCAGTATATATATTGTTATGGCTTAGTTGGTGAATGTTGATAAATAATTTTCTTTTTCACCGTTTTTTTCTGAGTACTTTATTATCAACGTGTAAAGTATCATCGTCCGAAGTAAATATCAAAGTTAATCGAAGACCGAATTACAACGTACTATACGTATATGAATTTTTCTTTTCATGGTGCATTTGCCTTATCGGAAAACGATGTGAATTGTTATTTTGCCCGCAGAAAATGGGAATTTGCGAGCACATTATACGAAGACCACCGTACGAGCTGGCGAAGTGCTCCGATTAACCGCCGTTTTTCAAGACACTAGACGAGCTCCGGTCTCCAACAGCGGCATATCCGGCGTAATAACTGGCATTCCGGATGGAAAGAGCTCAAGATCGTCGGAGAGAGATCAGTACGCTCAGTGTCTAGATTCTCATGGGCACGAGCTATTTGCTCCGCTTTCGGCGAGAGGCGAGTTTTATGCCACTTGTCAAAGTGGAACCCTTGATACTGGAAGCGACGCGGTCCTTTACAGAGTTCATCAGCTCGCTAGGAGAGACCTACCACTTAGAGTAAACTTTTTTCGTAGATTTCCTATGCTAATAAGACAGAAATATATTTCAAATTAATGTAATACAAGTTCATAGACATTAAGATTTGTTCGACGTAATTCGTGTAATGAAGAAAGAAAAAAATATTAACAAAATTGTTAAATGTCGTGATTGAACAAGGGATCCTTTTTTCTATTAAATTTCAAATTTTAATTGATAAAAGTATGTACAATTGATACAATGTTAATACCATTTTGTTCTGTTTCATAGGTACGTCTAGTCGCAGGGCCTTTACCAATACCATTACCACGAGATTATAGTGGATTGATGCAATTGGAAGGTGCGACAAGAGGACCAATAGTATTAGGCTGTGCAGTACCACTGATGCCTGAAAGACCTTTGCCAAATTCTACGGTACCGGAATTATTAGAACTCGTAGCTACCGGTCCAACTGCGCCAAGAGTGAAAAGAGCACGATTAGGATGTCCTTCCGAAGCAAGGCTATTGGCGTCTCCGAAAATGCAACGATTATTATCGGCATGCAGGTAATTTTTAAGACATATATAAATATTATTATATTTTATTTGACGTTTTACATAAGGACGTGATCATCATCATGCAATAATTCTAATGAAAATATTTCCGAGAAATCGCACATTTTTTATCCTGATTACAGAAGAGCATTGGATCAGAGAGCAACGGAGCCTCGAGTGGCACCACCAAAACCTTGCATCAATGGTGGCCAATTGAAGGAACTTCACTTGAAGGAAATTAAATCTAAACCTGAACCTAAACCAATACTTCAGAGTCTTAAAGAAAGTTTAGAACATATAAAGAGAAGCACGATACGAGATCGTAGCAACGGGAGAAACCTTAGTACCGGTAACAATCACAGCTTTCTCGACAAAATCTCGAGGATAGCCCAAGGTGGTAGAAGCCGGAATCCAGCGAAAAAGTCAGCGTCCTTCACCTTTGCCGTTAGACCGGAAATTGGTATGAGATCACCGGAGAGATACGCGAGTCTCGAGTCGGAAACAAATCTCATGCATGCATCACCGTCTTCGAGGCATCAGGTTCAAAGATCGATCTCAACGAGTGTGCTAGAGATTCAATCCCAGGCTGAGGCCGATCCTCCTTATTCCAAGGTCAGAGATAGTCTAACACCATTGCCACCAACACCACCACCAAGAACGGAAGATATCTACGCTGAGATTTGTGAACCACCGAACAGAAAAATACTTCGTGATTCTCCGGAAGAGAAACCACCGCCTCCTCCACCAAGTAAAAATCAGCAATGTAGTGGTGGTGGTAGTGGTACCAGGGAGAAAGACAGAGGTTACGTCAAGTTGGCTTTAACACGATCGGAAGTATCTGATGTTTCAACAAGTACGAATACCGTAGACGAAGAGGGAATTTATAACACTGTTTGTTGAGAATACTCACGTTACAACATTTCCTTCTTCTTTTTCTTCTTCTTCTCATTCAAAGAAGAATGTGCAGAAGAGCAAGCTCGTCGAAGATTAACCATAACGTTGAAAAAAGAAGAAAACTTAGAAGGATGAAATAGAGAGAGAGAGAGAGAGAGAGAGAGAGAGAGAGAGAGAGAAAGAGGAAAAAACAAAAAAAAATGAAAAAAGAAAGAAAGAATTAATTGTGAGATTGAATCTTCAATGAGAAGGCTGTTCGAACGTGGACATCCTCGACGAGAGGACCGAACAGGAAAGATTTGCAAGGCCATTGACCGAAGAAAATCATCCAGTAATTACAGACTCGCGGACGAGCAACGGATATAGCGGTTTTCTCCGAAGATGGCTTTCGCAATCTGGCTTCCGGTATTACGGCGATACTGTCGTCGAAACTACCTCAGACTCGAGTTCAATGAAAATAACATAGTTGCGTGTGTTTATGGGAATTCCTTGTCCTATACGAAATGTAATCTAATGAATTCTTGGGAAACAGTTGAAAGAAAAAAAATATAAGGAAAAAAACGAAAGTAATTGATACGATCTTCGAAATACCTGTTTGCATTAATTTTTTCTTTTTTATTTATCTTTATTTTCGATTAATTAAAGACGATCTTTTTTAAAAGGACGAACGTTCATCGAAGTTCGTTGGGGAGAGAGATCTTCAGCACAAAAAAAAGAAAAGAAAAAGTATTAAATGAAAATAGGAAAGAAAGAAATCGAATCGAAGAAGATCGAGCAAGGGTGACAATTAATCTATTAACTCGTCATGCTCGATGAATGTTCGCTTCCTCTCTTCTTCTGGTTCGTGCTGCTCGATTGAAAGTACTTACGAAGCGAAGTATCGCGTGACGACTCGCGATTGGCTTGCTCCTTCAAACGTATACCTTTACGAAGGAAGGCCCATCTTGGTTGTTCGGTCTTCATCTAGAATCACAATTTGAAGCGCTTCGAGGAAACTGCCAACCCTCGTATGATGAAGCGTTAGAACGGAGATTGTGGAAAAAAGTGAGAAATGAAAAAATATACCGGGTGAATAAGAAGACGAAGAAGAAGATGAAAAAGAAGAAGAAGAAGAGAAGAGAACAGAGAAAAGAAAGAGAGAAAGAGAAAGAGAAAGAGGAACGGAGGTCGAAGGAAAGGTGGGGAGAGGAAAAAGCCCGGAGGGAAGATACAAGAGAGAGAGAGAGTGAGAGAGAAAGAGAGAGAGAGAGAGAGAATGCATGCATCGAAAAGCTCAGAAGAAATGTGTAATCTTCTCTAATTCGATGTTCCTCTCTCCTACGTACGCGCATACACGAATGCTGTAATATTACTGTAATATTTGTATGTTTTGTGTATATTCCGTGCATAGAGGATATATCGAAGAAAAAAATAATAACGATTTTTATCACAATCATCTATCCGATCCTTCTTTCCTTCCTTTCTTTTTTTCTTTTTTTCTTTTTTTTTTCTAATCACATTCCACTTTCTCTTTTTACTATGTTCCAACTGATCTTAATGATGTACAATACAATGACTTAAGAAACCCTTAATTAGATTGCATCGCGACAATAAGATGAGATCGTTTCTCATGATGGGAATAACTCGCGACAGATGTTGTAAGTATCATAGTTCTTTTGAAATATAATTAGAGTATGTACAAAAGAATGATAGAGAAATAGAAATAGATAGATAGATAGATAGATAGATAGATAGATAGATAGATAGATAGATAGATACAGAGTGAGAGAGAGAGAGAGAGAGAGAGAGAGAAGAAAATGTAAATATCAAGGCAAAAGTCTTAAAATGATACACAAAATCGGCAAAGGATCGATCTACGTTGTATCGATCTGAGACAACGACGCTATCGAGGCACGATAATCTTGGTCCACGGGTGCATATTTCAAGATCGGCATGCGTGAACGATTTCATGGCCGTCGGGTTGCCTTGCGGTCGTGTAACTCACGTTTATAACGTTAATGCGACGGGCGCAGAGTGTAGACTATCGTATTTCGCAGCCCTGGTCCACCGATCGACGAGGCATGTTTTAATATGCAAATTAAAATGCAAATATCCCAGTGCCCTCCCTTCTCTCACTCTCTCTCTCTCTCTCTCTCTCTCTCTCTCTTCCTTTCTCTCTTTTTCTCTCTTTTTCTCTTATTTTATCTTCGTTCTTTGTCTTATTTCTATTTCTCTCTCTCTCTCTCTCTCTCTCTCTCTCTCTCTCTCTCTCTCTCTCTCTCTCTCAATTCCTCGTTGATTTCTTCTTTGAAAAAGAATCTCTTTTCTTCGCGATTACGAAATTCAGGTCTCTCCGTTTTGTTGTTTCCCTTTGATTTAAAAATGTTTATAATCTGTTTAATCTTGATTCAAAATATGAATTTTTATGAAATTATATATATATATATATATATATATATATATTTATTTGTTTCCGAAATTGTTCATAAAAACTTCGAATTTTTCATATTTTTTTTTCTTTTTTCTTCTGAAGATTTAATCTCGCTCGTTTTTTATAAGAGAGAAAAACATTTATGAAAGGGAAGGTTTTTACGACGGACAAATTCAAAACGTTTAAATTATGACTTGCAAAAATGAAGTATTGAAGTGAAGCGTTCACGTTTTATTCATGAATATCTCGAAGAAATAGATCGTTGAATGTTCACGAGTCTATCGTTTGATATCTAGCGGTTACATATTGTTGCTTTCTCCTGTATCTGTTTGGCTCCATGTACACTCTCCGAGTATATATATATATATATATATATATATATATATATATATATAATATATATATAATATATATATATATTTATTTATATATAATATATAAATCAGGACATTTATCACGGGAATATTTATTAATTATACTCCTATAACGATGTTATGTTATATTAAAGAAGCAACATAGTACACTTTCCTACGTATTTAGAAAAGGACAATGGGAACAGGTAATAGACGTTAGACGTGTTGTAGAAGTAGAACGAATAAAATTAAGACGATACGTTTGATCAATCGTGAGAAAGGTATATAACGCGTTCTACTTGGGAGAAAAATAAATGTAAAATTAATATTAATCTTTGAATGAAAGGTCTTTCTATATATGGTCGATACAAAAGATGCAATCTAGTGCTTTTCTAAGTGATTCAATATAGATGTCGTCTTTCAATGCGAACAGGAGACTACTAACGCGTATCGAATTCTAAAGAATTTTCATTCTGGAAAAACAATGAAAGAAATGGAGTATTTGCGGCACCAAGTTTAAAGGGACCAAACAGGCTCGTATATTCTCGTGTATCGAGTACAGGGTAACCGAACACCCCCGCATCCTGATGTCTTCTCGTATCCTTTTCTACGAGACAAGATCGTAGCCGTCGTAGTTGTAGTTGTCGTTGTAGTTGTCGTCGTCGTTCTTCTTCTTATTCCCTACAACTCGGATAACATCTTCTTCCCTGACAAGCTTTTTGTCCTGATCTACGAGACGGTTGACTGGTATGGTACCGGTGGTACTGCTAGTAATGTCGGAGGTACTCGAGCGTTGCACACGACGAACGACGACCGAGTGTCAAGTACACAAGTTGTCTTTCATTTAGAGTCCCTTATTTTTCGTATTTCCTTGAAGCATCTGAGTAAAGAGGGAAGCTGACAAGTGTAAATCCGGTGATGGAATACGTGAAGTGAAACTAACGAATCTCTTGGAAAATTAAAAGAGAATGGAGCACTTGTTTACGAATAATTACAATAATTATTAAAATAAAATACATTTAATTTAACATAATTATATTAAAAAATTTCGAATATCTAATTTATTATAAGAAACGAATTATTAAAAGATACATATATTTCAGATTAAAATCAAAGATTTTGACGAATGATATAATGTAAGATTCTTTACTTTCGCATTTTTTATTTCTCTCTACTATCATAGAACAGAGATAACGAAGTAGAAACGCATCCGTGTCAGATATCCTTTGGTTCGAGCATCTTAACGAGCGAACTTTCCGCTTCGTACGCTTATGCTTGAGCGGATAGACGATGAAAAGAACGGCAAAGACAGCCCAAGGAAAGCAGGAAAAGTGTTAGTCGAATAAAACCGTCGGCTTCGCTTTTATAAAGAGACCTTGTTTATTCAAATTACCCGAGACGTACGTTAATCGCCATGCTTCATAAAGAGCGTATACGGGTAAAAGCAAAATGTTGATTTACCCTTTCGCTCTCCTCTATCCCATTTGCCTTCCTGTTGGTTAGTTAGGCCAACATAGTTAACAGTGTGGTTCGTTTTTCCAAGAATAAGAGCACCTATTAACGGACACGAATCTTAATTGGTACTTATTAATAATTTATTAAATGGTCGTTTACTTTATCTCTTTATCTCTCTCTCTTTCTCTCTCTCTCTCTCTCTCTCTCTCTCTCTCTCTCTCTTTATCTTTCTCTATTTCTCTTCGTCTCGCTCTTTGAAGTTTCCAAAGCAATCTTTATAATATTATAACGCAACTTCTTCGCTGTCAAGAAACACTGTATGTAAGGAATCTCGTGTCCTTCGTTCGGCGAGTTCGATCGGAAAATCGTTACAAAGTGAAGCGATACCGAAAAAGGAAATGGTGACACCTACGCTGACGCAAAAGACTCACGACCATCATTTATATTACCTTTATGTAAGGGAAATTTAATTTATGAGCTTGATGATTTCAGGACGACGAAATCGTCCTCGACTTTAATCTCTTTTTATAACACGGGAGGATAAAAAATTTACGACAATCTTTATCGTCTCGATAACGCCTTCAATTAAAGGGATAATCTTCATTTCGATACTATTTTCTCATAATAATTTCTGTATTCTATAATAAACAAATGTGAAAAGTTACAACGTAGGCGTATCTAATATTGGCGAATATAAATGCGTGTACGATCGAATGCGATTGCGAGAAACCCGCTAGGCTTATGCGTGACATAATCTAGTGCTATGTAATCCGTGAGTCCGAGCTTGCGTAAAGAGAAAGAGATAGATAGAGAAAAAGAGGGAGAGGGAGAGAGAGTGAGACAGACAAACAGATAGACAGAGAAAGAAAAAGAGAGAGAGAGAGAAAAAGAGAGAGAAAGAGAAAGAAAGAAAGAAAGAAAGAGAGAATGGGTGCCGGTAGTCTTGAAGATACGACAGGATCGAAGAAATTCCCGTTAGATGACAAGGAAAGAGGAGGAAGAGGAGGAGAAAGTAAGAAGAAGAAGGAGAAGAAGAAGAAACAAAAGAGAAGAGAAGAGAAGAAAGGAGAAGAGAGGAGAAGAGAAAAGGTGCACATCTCAAAGGAATAGTATCCTCCTCACGCTGGGCCAGCACCTATTGCGTAGCTACTTTCCAATACAAGTTCTGGAAAATCGATCGTAGGCTAGATAGTCGGTAAGTCGCGCTACTAGTCGCGCTACTAGCTGAGCTACTAGCCGCTAGAATCGAATGAATCAGCCAGTCGGTCTCTCAAGCGGCCTTGCGCGAACGCTGAACCGGCCTGTTTGAGGTCTCCGCTTGAGGTCTCCTCGGGATAGTGCAACGCGTTACAGAATCTTCTCTTCGTCGTAATACGAACGTAGTTCGAGTAAAACGATTTCTTTCAAAGAATTCGAAAGCCAATAAATAAAGCTTTTACCATCGAACTATGTCAATTAAAAATTCTTTAATATGGTTTATTCTAATTTTTTTCCTTATTATAATTCCT